CACTGAGCATATCTGAGCTCTGGGGTCTCAGGTGCTCCTTTTGACATGGAGTGGGAGTGAGCGACAGTAGCGTGATGTCAGTGTAGCTTCATGGAGCCCTCAGTGTGTGTAGGCAGGAGTTTAATGATCATCCTTATTCCATCCTGTTTATCAGGCACGAGTAGAAGCGTGGGGCAGGGGAAGGGATGCCAGTCCAATACGGGGCACACACCCCCCACCCCCACGGTCAATTTTGAGTTGGCATTTCACCTTAAACCGGAATACCTTGAGGAAATCTATGGAAACGTGGCAAACATTAAACATTGGTCATTGTTGGCTAAGACATGACCATATAGCATTGTGCAGAGCAGCATTTTCACCACCCCTTCTAAATACGTGGCCACCCTGGTTGCCCTCCCACAACAAAATAATTAATAAACTGATTATTAATAATTTGTGTTTCAGAGACATGGTGTGGCACAGCCACCCCCATAAATATAACCGGCCCCTGATGGCCACCCCACTCAAAATTGAATGCAGCCACCACTGGTTTCAGGAGGATGCCAAACAAGTTGGAGCTAAGGGTTGTCATCCTTACCTACTGCTTTGTCACAGCTGTCCCTCAACTGCTTGATGAGGTTAAACAACTAGTAGCTGAATCCATAAGCTGTCACTTTATTTCAGAGCAGTGGAAGTTGGCTACACACATTTTGCAGATGAGTTTGATATGAGAGTCTCACTGGCGGTACTGATTTGCTGAAGTGTGTAAAAGTGGAATGTAGCATCGCAGGGAGAGACCGCCCCAAGAGACGAGCGCTAATGCGGCAGTTGCTGCTAGGTGGTATTGTGCTTTGCACATGCTTTGGCCTCTCGACACGCACTGACACGTGTTGCCGAGAGATGTTGTGACCTCACAAAGTACTGCACTCACACAAAGGTGTGTCTGCCAGGTACTGTTTAAAAACAAGTTTAACACAATTAGTTTATCATGGATGCTTTGTGTTTATATAAAATGATTTTAATACAGTTCTTTAGGTTAGTCTATACTATAAGTAATGCCTGAAAATATCTGGGACATTTGGGTCACTTTTTTTTAAACACAGGTGAAATAAGTATTTTCTCAACATTTGTGGATTACAATAGCAAATATGAATTTGTTAAATATAGAAGTACGTATGTTTTGAAGTTGCTGGCTCTTGTTTTTTTATTATGTGGTATCAGTGGGCATGTAATTAAATATGTACTTCTAATATTGTTTTCTCAGAATTGCTTGCAGATTTCGGTAATGAATTTTGAGCATTAAGTATTGCGATCCAGTTGTGTACCGTGATGCATTGTGATATGTTGAATCATTTGCATCGTGAAGTGAATCATGCTGTATCGTAATGTTTGCTTTTGCTGGACTTATAAATTATTTTCTGTTGTTGTAGCATGTTATAGTACCCCCCAATTATAGCTGCACTTTAGAGTCTGTTTAAGAAACAGGATGTGTAATGAATTGAGCTAAATTCTCTGCCTCTGTGTACATGAGTGCAAAATCAACTGGAACTGGTATGAACTACTCGGGTGGCCTGTTATCACTTAGATCAAATGACTCGGTAAAAGCTCTGTAATTTGGTACCTTATAGCATCCACATGTAGAAAACCACTGTGTTGTAAATTATTTGTTCAGACGCTAACTGACGATTAGCAATTTGAGCCTTTAAATGAACCGGTTTTGTGAAGTCTAATTTGTGTCAGATGTTGCCAGTATGGGTGTTCAGTTGCCTATAGCAGTAATAAAATATGGTTTTCCATAGTTTTGTCTTTTTACTAAGAGAGGAAGCTGTTGTTAATTGTTATTCTTGTACAGGAAGATTAGCTAGCTGAGTAGATTTACAGAATAGATTGCAGTTCACGGTGTAGCTACATGGGCAAGTTACAACTGGTTCCACAGTTCGTATTTGTACTGCCTCACGAGCGATCAGCATATAGCCTCTCACCCTTTGATCTTGTTTGCATGGAGGTACATGTAATTTCATTATTAAATGGATATTCCGTCAGTCTTGCTGAGTTGACACAGGAATTGCCTGTTTTTCACACCTGCTGAAAGCACATGGCACGGGTCTCTCCCCTTTATGAGATAAGTGTCAGCACTGCTCAAAGTTCAGACTAAATCGTAAGTCATTAGCCTTGACTCTAAGCCCCCTTTGGCTATGTCCGGGAGAATTTATCTGTGTACTATTGCTGATTTAACGTGGCTAAAATCACTCATTTGAGCTGATTAACGTTGCTATGAGAATCACTTTACCTCGGATTATTCTTAAAAAAAATTTGCTTTTATTTATTTTTAATCGGTATAGGTTTGACAGCCTGGGATTATCACGGATACATGACAAGCTGTTTGCAGTAATTCATTTACATGGCAATGGGGACATCCCATGGGGACATGTCGTGCTCTTGGTTATTCCCTCAGCGTAATAATGCTGTAGAACACATTAGATCCAGCGTTGGTCTAGTGGGTGTTTACTGCGGATTAAGAGGTTTGGCGTTCGGCCAATGTGACGGGGGGTGGAACTACTGGAAAAAAATGCAGACTATTATTTTACGTGTTTTATTGTTATTGTTTAGTGATAGCCCGTTCCAGGGGAGTTTCTAGCTATTGAAAAGATCAGGGGCTAAATCAAGTTTACCTGGGGCTTAATTTATTTATTTATTTTTATTTTTTTTTATGAAGGAGGATCATTTGCACTGGGCTAAAATCCTCGGGGCTGTGGTGATCGGACCTAACACCCATGGCCTGCTCCCTCTCTGTCTACGTAGAGAAACAAACATGGCTAGTAATTTTTCAGTGACAGTTATAACTACATTTTTAGCAGTTACTAAATTAAGCCCTCAACAGTTTGCCCGTTGCTGTCAGCCTAGCTGCACTGCACCCAGCCTAACTGTGGAATATTAGTCAGCGGGTTTGTTGTGGGAAGTATGTCTTGTATGCGACCCCTTCTCACATCCGAATCCCATTAATGTATCAGGTGAAAACCCGGGATAGATGCATTTTAATCCCACTAGTTTTCCGTGACGGTAAAGTAACAGGCGTCGTTTACTTCCAGCGGATATCAACGTAGCGAGTAAAAGGGGGAGAATCCCCTCGCGCCATTTTCGAACGCAGCACTGTTACAGTTTCACATTCTTATGGGGCGGCGTCAGGAAGTTACCGCCAAAGTTACTACGCTGCAGGGGATGGATTAACGGGGAGAGCAAATCCCATAGGACACCATAAAGGTAAAACAGCGATTAATAAGTGGGTTTCAGTGTGTATGTCGCCTCCCACCTAACTAAATGCCTGCTCTGTTTACCTACCTCATCTGTTTTTCCTTTTCCTTGGTAAACACTTAATTAAACCCATTTTATTTGGAACAGTATAAAAGCATTTGCTAAATGGCAACGTGGTATAGCCTATAAGAATCAGAATCGAGTTCATTGCCAAGCACGTTCACACATACAAGGAATTTGCTTTGGTGGCTGGTGCCAGACATCGAGAAGATAAGGTGGTGTGTGTGTGTGTGTGTGTGTGTGTGTGTGTGTGTGTGTGTGTGTGTGTGTGTG